ATTTGTTGTCTTGGCCTTTGCTTTGCAGCCATTCTTGATCACGACAAAAATATCATCCGACAAAGTCGGAAAAGAAAGATACACGATACACCGCTGCTATCGTCGCTCCTAGGTGGGCTCGAACCACCAACCTCCTGATTAACAGTCAGACGCGCTAGCCAATTGCGCCATAAGAGCGTTTTTCCTTCTTATTTTTGAATTTTCGAGAAACATCATCAATCGGTCACCTTCCCGATTTGGAAGGTGATCGCAGAGGCACCAAACAAGTTGCTAAATGCAGCGGAACGTATGCTGAATATGAAGGTAATGATGACCAAAAAATATGGAAGGTCAATCAATTGCAATTTGGATTAATAATGTATTGTCAACTTTAGTCTAGCTCAGCTAAGCAGATTATTGGTAGTGGAATTAAAACGTCCTTTAGCATTCTCCGACGCATTACAACCATCTCCTTTGTTGAAAACGACCCCTCCCCCCTTATGTACGTACGATGGACACTTGCACTAGACTAAGCAGCTCTTTTCCAGTATGATGTGAATTGCATTACTTTGATTCGAGTAATTTGGTCGCTATGGCGTTCATGTTGGTTATTGCAGCCTTTGGACTTTTATATCTTTATGCCAACTAAATACAACCACCACGACGCATTATCAGCCATTCAAACGTGCCGATCCATATAGTAGTAATTTGTGTATACATGCTTTTTCGTAGAAAGTGTCATTATTTAGAGTGTAGTACTTTATGATACATTGCTCCTTTATGCACTTGTATTGGAATTGTTGTTTATTGTATGATGACGAGAAGACGTGTGGAAGGATTGTTATGGACATGTCTCAGCTAATGAATACAAGGAATGTAATGTATGTATTGTGAACAACATGTAGTAATGATTTATTGGTTACAATGAACTATACAGGGTATCAAGTAGAAAGAGGAGACAAGTTGTTATTTTTCAAGTGCTCGTACACTATTACCAACAACAAGGACAGCAGGAGCCACGATGGATTGTTCTTCAACGAGAGTAGCCATATTGGCAACGGTACCCAAGACGACACGTTCTTGTGGACAATTTGCATTCTCGATCCAGCATACGGGGCATTCAGGTGGATAGTGTTTGTCATTGATTAATATCTTGCAGAGATCAGCCGCTCTTCCCACAGCCATCAAAACGACCAGCGTTCGAGATGCACCATATTCAGGTAAATCAGGCATTGCACCCTTTGTGCCACGGCCAGTAGTAATAATCACTTGATCGGTAATGCCTCTCATTGTAACAGGGATACCAGCAGCCATTGGAGCCGAAAATGCACTTGAAATACCAGCAACGAGTTCAGGCTCATATCCTCTTTCACGGAACCATAAGATCTCTTCACCACCACGACCAAATACTAATGGATCACCAATCTTGAGACGCACCACGCGTTGACCTTTTTTCAATCCTTCCATACACCATTCAAGTAGCTCATCTTGCGCAGGATCCGATTTACCAGCTGTCTTTCGGGCAATACGAAGTTCACCTTGTACCATATCCAACATAGGTTGAGGGATAAGACGATCACTGACCACCAAGTCTGCTTCCTTAAGATAGCGTGCGGCTTTGACAGTAATAAGTTCGGGATCCCCAGGACCTGCACCCAATAATGCGATACTTGGTTGAGTAGTGAAAATGTCGTGAACAGCAGGAATCTCATTGTTCTCGAAGTAGCGGCGTAACTTTTCATAAAGAGCATCTTGATCATCGGCTGTTGTCAATCGCGCCATATTGGTCATGCCCCATTTTTCACAAAAGCGAGTGACCCATCCCATCCGCTTGCCAGAGTTCTCAATAGCAGGTTCCCATTCTCGCACCTTGGCTCGTAATACACCCATGTGTCGTACAATGTCACCAATGTTGGATGGCAAGGCTTGAGCTACAGTGGTGCGGATCATGTTGGCAAGCTTGGGTCCTTGACCATTGGTTGATACGGCAATCTGAACAGGTCCATCTCGATGTTGGCTCATAAAATAAAAGTCGCACATGGGTGGTACATCGGCAACGTTAACAGGAATACGTCGTTCTCGACACAAGTGGCCGATACGCAAAGACTCGTCGTGATCGTCAAGTGCTGTCAATACCATGTCCACATTGTCCAAATCCTTATCCACAAACGCACGATCGATCCAGTCAACCTCCTTGTTCTCAATGCGGAAACGCACCTCGTCGTTGAGTCCTTCAGCTGGAGCAACCACCGTAACCTGGGCATCCGCGATCCTTGTTGAAGCAATTCGTTGTGCTGCCACATTGCCACCACCGACAATGAGAACTCTTTTGTTGGCAATGCGGTAGGCTACCACTAGTGAACCACCACCTTCGATAGTTGGATACTTGGATTGTTGATCTGACATGGATAAAAAGGAACAAGAAGAAGAAGGCTATGCATGTTTCAAAGAGCGTGTTCGATTAATAGATAACCCAACACCCCGCCAGATCATCTTTTTGCCTGTTGTCATCATGTGCCAACCATAATCGAGCGCACATTAATTCCATGGATACATCCTCGATCACGTCATTTCATATGCCAACATCTCTTAGCAACCTGACCCTTACTATGAATTCATGTATACCATCACCCCCATCCCCTTCTTAGAAGCATTTACCAAACATTAAACTATGCCGTAGTAACATCAATTGACTCCTATGGAGCCTATCGGAGTAGTAGTGGTAGTGGTAGTAGAGTACTTACATGATGCACTTCCCCTTCTCTTTCATGCTATCCCTTGTTTCCAACAGGTGGCCATGTCTCTGGCTTAGCATTGCTCCTCCTCGGCAAACCCACCCTCGCATCTACCACACGTAAAAACAACTCCCTTAAAACGATTTTCCACCATTTCTTTGCATAAAGTTTCCTTGATGCCCTGTGGGCTTCAACCAATACTGCCAGCTTGTGTACTAGTTGTCAATAATAAAGACAGCATCATCCATATTTTGATACGTGATCGTAACTAGCTGCTGTATCGGTTATCTTTTTAATTGAAGGTGCAGTCGTTTAACTCCATGTCACATTGAAAGATCAAAGTCAAATCTTGCGGATTATACAAGGAGCGTCACCAAGGGAAAGAAAAAAGGGAGGTGTGCAGCTTGGAAAGGAGATTTTACGCCGCTCGGTCATGGATCAATGATAAAAGGGAACATCATCTTGTTCTTTGTGACATTCTTTAACGTGCTCTTTTTCTCATGAAGGTATACACAATCATGTTCCTGTATTACGGGTGCTGTATGGGTGTCAATGCTAAAGATGTTTGTGTATGTGATGATCATACGTAGTTATCTCTTTGTGCCACTCTACTACTTGGTGCATCAGCACTTGTGCCGGCCGTGCTCGCTGACACAGAATATTTTAACCGCCCTGTTCCGGGATCAGTGTTTTACAAGGGCTCCAAGGCATGCTTCTTGCTCGACAAAATGGATGACGATGACGATAAAGTCATATTGGCTCAACTTTACCGACACAAGGAAAAGGATGAAAGCAAGATCAAAGTCCATAAGAGAGAAGACGACGATGATGATGACGATGATGAAGATGATGATGAAGATGATGATGACGATGAAGAAGATGACGACGACGATGATGATGATGATGACGATGACGATGACGATGACAATGGCAAGGACAAAGACGACGATAATGACAAGGACAAAGACGATGATGATGATGATGACAATGATGATGACGATGATGACGATGAAGATGGTGACAACTCTGGGTAGGTTTAAATGGCCCATTCATGCAGATCAGAGCTAACTTTTCTTTCACAGGCTTAAATTTACTCAAACAATCCAAAAGTGGTACGGCAAAGATATTGGTGATGACAACAGCGATTTTTCGTTCTGCTGGACAGTGCCCCAAAATGTCACTGCAGGAAGATATCATGTGCAAATGGAGACTCAAGAACTGAATGATGATGGTACTATCAAAAATGATGGTGATGGTGATGGCGGGGATCAAGATGACATGGTAAGAAGCCATATCTTCCACATCTTGGACGGCCAAGATCCCGAACCAGACACCACCACAGAGCAAGATACCCCTACGACACCTTCTAGTAATGATACACCAACACCAACGCCAACCGAAGATACGACAGCAACCCCATCACCAAAAGATGATGATGATGAAGCTCCTGTTGTATCACAACCATCGGGTCAAACACCCATCACTCTACACCAACAACCACAACCTGATACTAATGAAGGATCAGACAACGCCAAAGAGAACAATGAGACTTCTACATCTAATTTCCCATTGGATATTGGGAGCACACCGGTGACCGTGACGACAAATAAAGCGCTTCTTAGGCGTGCACAAATTAAGCGGCGCATCCTCGCTAGACGTTTATACCACTAGATCATTTTGTTGTCGCTAAATCAAGATAATATAGTAATAAACCATGTCAAAAGTTATCATTCCCTAAGCCGTTGTTTAGTATTTTGCGTATTTATTGCTGGGCTATGGTAGGTAGTAGGTAGGATAGCTAATCCCAGCAGTGCGCGATCTCTGATAAAAAGGGGCTTGCATAAGAGGGCATGTATCAATCATCCGTTACTGTATAGCATACTAGAAAAGGAGATACGTCACCATTATGCTCATAAAAAACTGAAACAGGCAATCCAAAGTCGTCATTGTGATGAGAACGACTACAATGGAGTCAAAAGTCAATCGCCAATCAAATTGAAACCAGCAACGCGTTGATCCCAACTCAGCTTGAAAGGATGTGTATTTTGCATGGTGTCACAAACAATTGCTCTTTCTTTGCCTTTCTTTCTTTCTTTTTGACTCTTTTTTTCTTTGGGATTGATGAATGCACTGAGAGCATTTCGTGATGCATATAATCGATCATACAACAAACGCCCCATATTCACGCTTTGCGTTACCAACTGTGTCCTTGGTGCCATAAGCGACTCGCTCGCCCAAGGTATCACCTACTACGATTACCGAAAAAACCACAAGCGGTTCCCCGAAATCATGGATAAACAGCTACCGGAGAATGTCAGAGAACATGAGGACTTGTGGCCACCACCTCCAGCCTATGATCCATTTCGCACTGTACGCTTTGCATTCTATAACTTTTGTATCGCGCCAATTGTCGGCAAGTGGTATATGGTGCTTGACCGTTACTTCCCCATGCCAGTTGCTGGTGCAGCGTTAGCATCGACACGCGCAAAGGATGTTATTGCAATCAAACGAATGGTAAGGATACGCCACCCCCACCATGTATGTATGTATATTTGGAATGCTCACATTTTAGAACAACTACGACGACTACTATGGCAGGCTGTAGACCAAGCGTTCTTTGCTCCATCTAGCTTGGCGGTCTTTTTCACTGTCATGGGCCTCGCAGAAACCGGTAAATGGGCAGCAGTAAAAGAAAAATTCCATGATGCCTACAAGCCAGCCCTTGTTGCCAACTATACAGTATGGCCTCTGGTACAACTCGTCAACTTTAAATTGATGCCCTTGCAATATCGCTTACCTTTTGTAAGCACGCTTGGTATCTTGTGGAATGCTTATCTCAGCTGGATCAACAGTGCTACGCGTGAGGAGGCGAAAGCTATTGAAAGTCAACTGGTTTGACACCATCCTATCTCTTGTATAGAAATGTTCTCCTTTTTGTTTATACAAATATACATAGAATTGTGCTCAATGTTGGAAAGAGGGAAAAGCCGGAGATATAATTGGGTTCGGGCACATTCGTTGTTGTCATGTTACTCCATCATGTAACGTATTGGTGCAAACGACTTTTGGGTATAGGATCGTGTGATGCGATTGGGGTCAGGGGCTTGCTGAATTTGGGGATTGTGCACAAAAGTGCGCGCCTAGTGTGGTACAAAGTTGTCAACGTTCCTTGATAAAGAGGTCCGTGCTTGTTGTGAAGGAGTAACTAGAATGCTTATACATGTTTCCATAGCACTTGGATCAAGATAAAAGCTTTAATCAGCGTTAGATCATCATTATAAAAAGAAGACGTCTCTTCTTGTAATATTATCATTCAAAGAAAAGGATGCATGTATACGGCTTAGCATTGGTTGAATGGGAAGTAATGGATTAAGTATTGCCAACAAAGGCATTCATTTTTAAGAGTTACATAAGGGCCTAATGGTCTACATCATATCATTGATGGTGGATGTGCATTATGTGAGTGTGTGACAAGGTGTGGATGACCGCAGCAAGTGAGCTGGGTTTACAAGCCACTGTCTCAGTCGTCAGCGTGAGTGGGTGTGCAATGAACGTGAATCGCGGAGGATGATGTACCCGACGTCGTTGGTCTCTCTCTCACTCACTACCTCACTTTTGCTCGCTGTCCTTTTTATTCATATATATACACAACACATTGTACCTCACATTCACTCTTGAACGTCCTCGTAAGTACTGCATCACGATACATCTATACGCGTGTTGTTTATTGACTTTACGATTATGGCAATCTAGCTCGCTCTATATACACAACTGACGAATCATGGCCGAGAACATTGCCAAACAGAATCAATACCAATATGCAGCCAATTCGAGTCTTGTGCTACAGGCGGATCGTAGTGGATTAGCACGCAGAGACCAAGAGCCAACGGGCGAGCCCGAGTCATTGTATGGCAAGATTGACCCCAAAGACTTTGGTTCACGGGCTGTGCGAGAGACACCAAAGGACATTGAAGAGAAGAAAAAGAAGGCTGCAAAGCGATCTGAAGAATCAGCAGAGAAGCGACGTCGAAAAAAGGAGGAAAGCGCCATCAGCAAAGCTTACGGCTACTCATCAGTACTTTCAGCAACGGATGATTGGGAAGGATTGAATTATCGGCCACGAACAAAAGAGACACGTGAAGCATATGAACACATCTTATCATTCGTCTATGATCATCTTGGTGACCAGGCTCGGGATGTCATTCGTAGCGCTGCTGATGATGTACTCGAGACGTTGAAGACTGATACACTCAAAGACTTTGACAAGAAGCGTGAAATCGAATCCGTTATTGGCAACATTGAATCCGACAAGTTTGCACAGCTGGTCAATCTCTCAAAGAAGATCACCGATTACAATGCTGAGGACAATATGGATGTCGATGAACGAGGTGAAAAGGTCGGCGATATCGATGACGAAGTTGGCGTCGCTGTTGTATTCGATGAAGATGAAGATGAGGAAGAAGAAGATGATCAATTCGAAGTGTGCGATGAGGATGAAGAGGAAGAAGCAATGGCTGCTGCTGAGGCAGATGCTGATCACGTCTTATCGGTGGGCCAAAAGAATCGATACATGGATGAAGAAGAGGAAGAATCACCTGATGAAGAGGAGGGCTTCAAGACTGTACTTCCTGGATCCGATGGCAGCAAAAAGAAGCGTGGCACAGCAACAAAGAAATCAGACAGCGTTTCTCCTCACGACATTGATGCTTTTTGGTTGCAACGACAAATCGCCACGCATTATCCTGATCCTCACACAGCACAAGAAAAGACACAAAAGGCATTCGACATCATTGGCTCTGAATCTGTCAGCATGCGTGATTGTGAGAACGAGCTCATGGGTCTCTTCGACTATGAGAACTTTGATCTTGTTCGTATCCTTGTCAAGAACCGTGATTTGATCTACTGGTGTACTCGATTGGCAAGAGTGACAGGCGAAGAACGAACGGCTTTGGAAGCTGAGATGCAACAAAAGAATGTGGGATGGATTTTACGTGATCTTAGTGGTGACAGAGCTTTGCGTGGTGAAGCATTGGAGCGTAAGGGTGTTGTTGACACTGCCATGGAGATCGATGAGGAGCAACCCAGTGGTCGTAGCCGAGGACAGGTGCCCACTACTACTACCATCACGCCTGGTACCACCAAGACACCTCGACAAATGCTTGACTTGGATGATTTGGCATTTGAACAAGGTTCGCATCTTATGTCTAACAAAAAGGTCAAGCTTCCTGATGGTTCTTTTAAGCGTTCCAAGAAGGGTTACGAGGAGATCCATGTTCCATCACCAAAGCCTCAAGCATTTGCTGCCAATGAGAAGCTTGTTCCTATTTCAGAGATGCCTGAATGGACTCATGAGGCGTTCCCTGGTGCAAAGAGTCTCAATCGTGTGCAGAGCAGATTGTATCCTTCGGCCTTTGGTGGAGATGAGAATTTATTGTTGTGTGCTCCCACTGGTGCAGGCAAGACCAATGTTGCCATGTTGACTGTTCTTCGTGAAATGCACAACCATCGTGATCCTGAGACTGGTCACATTGATCTCGACGCTTTCAAGATTGTGTATATTGCTCCTATGAAGGCTTTGGTTCAAGAAATGGTCGGCAATTTTGGCAATCGTCTCAAGCCATATGGTGTCAATGTTGCTGAGTTGACAGGTGATCGGCAATTGACCAAGCAGCAAATCGCTGACACCCAAATCATTGTCACCACACCAGAGAAATGGGATATCATCACTCGCAAGGCAACCGATCGCAGCTATACGTCATTGGTACGATTGATCATCATTGACGAAATTCACTTGTTGCACGATGAGCGTGGTCCTGTATTGGAAAGCATTGTTTCTCGTACGATTCGCACAATGGAGCAGACACAAGAATTGGTGCGTTTGGTCGGCTTGTCAGCAACTTTGCCCAACTATGCCGATGTCGCAGCATTTTTACGTGTGGATCCAAAGACTGGTTTGCATCATTTTGACAGCACTTTCCGTCCTTGTCCTTTGCGTCAACAATTTATTGGTGTCACTGAAAAGAAGGCTATCAAACGATTCCAAGTCATGAACGAGGTGTGCTATGAGAAGGTTGTGGAGCAACTTGAGAATCGTGAGGAGAATCAAGTCTTGATCTTTGTGCATTCTCGCAAGGAGACGGCCAAGACAGCAAAGTCGATGCGTGATCTTGCATTGGAGCGTGATACGCTTACTCGTTTCCTCAAGGATGATTCAGCTAGTCGAGAGATTCTTCAATCAGAAGCTGCCACTGTTAAGGATGCCAATTTGCAAGAGCTTTTGCCTTATGGTTTTGCTATCCATCATGCTGGAATGACGCGTGCTGATCGTACATTGGTGGAAGAACTCTTTGCTGATGGTCATATCAAGGTGCTTTGTTCAACAGCTACTCTTGCATGGGGTGTCAATTTGCCTGCACACGCTGTCATTATCAAGGGCACACAGATCTATTCACCAGAGAAGGGTCGATGGGTTGAATTATCACCACAAGATGTATTGCAAATGTTGGGTCGTGCTGGTCGTCCACAATATGATACGTATGGTGAAGGTATCATCATCACAGCTCATTCCGAATTGCAATATTATCTATCATTGATCAACACGCAATTACCGATCGAGTCACAATTCGTTGGCAAGCTTGCAGACAATCTTAATGCCGAGGTGGTGCTTGGAACGATCCGTAACCGTGATGAGGCTGTGCAATGGCTTGGATACACTTACTTGTATGTGCGCATGTTGAGAAATCCAATGTTGTACAGCGTATCGCATGATGATTTGGAAGATGATCCTTACCTGGAACAGAAGCGTGTGGATTTGATTCATGCAGCGGCATCCATTCTCGACAAGTGCAATTTGATCAAGTATGACAAGAAATCAGGTCGATTCCAAGTGACTGAGCTCGGTCGTATCGCATCTCATTATTATGTCACCCATCAATCCATGTCGACCTATAATCAACATTTGCGACCTATGATGAGCCACATTGAGCTTTTCCGCGTATTTGCATTGTCGGATGAATTCAAGTACATTCCTGTGCGTGAGGAAGAGAAGATGGAGCTTGCAAAGTTGCTTGAGCGTGTACCAGTGCCTGTCAAGGAGAGTCTCGAGGAGCCAACTGCCAAGATCAATGTGCTTTTGCAGGCGTATATCTCTCAACTCAAATTGGATGGCTTTGCATTGGTTTCTGATATGGTCTATGTCACTCAAAGCGCTGGCCGTATCCTTCGATCCATCTTTGAAATTTGTCTCAAGCGTGGTTGGGCACAATTGACACTCAAGGCTCTTGATCTTTGTAAGATGGTTGAACAACGTGCTTGGTTATCCATGTCACCATTGCGTCAATTCAAGGCTATGCCAGCTGATTTGATTCGTCGTTTGGAGCGCAAAGAGTTCCCTTGGGATCGTTATTATGATTTGAATCCTCAAGAGTTGGGCGAGCTTGTTTCACAACCCAAGGCCGGCAAGATGTTGCATAAGTATGTCCATCAATTCCCCAAGCTCGAATTGCAAGCACATGTGCAACCGGTGACTCGTTCATTGCTCAAGATGGAATTGACTGTGACTCCTGATTTCCAATGGGATGAGAAGGTTCATGGCGTAGCACAGGCATTCTGGGTGCTTATTGAGGATGTCGATGGTGAGCACGTTTTATACCACGATTACTTTGTGCTCAAGCAACGCTATGCTGAGGAGGATCATTTGTTGACATTTACGGTGCCTTTATACGAGCCATTGCCACCCAACTACTTTGTCACTGTTGTATCGGATCGTTGGTTGCATTCGGTTACCAAGTTGCCTGTATCATTCAAGCATTTGATTTTGCCTGAGAAGTATGCACCACACACTGAATTGCATGATTTGCAGCCATTGCCAGTTTCAGCTTTGCGTAATGCCGAATTCGAATCAGTGTACAGCGACTGGATCTCGCAATTCAATCCTATCCAGACTCAAGTATTCAATACGCTTTACACCACGGATGACAATGTGTTCATTGGTGCACCTACAGGCAGTGGAAAAACGGTTTGCGCTGAATTTGCATTGATGCGTCTTTGGTCACAAAAGGAGGATAGCCGAGCTATTTATGTTGCACCCTTCCAGGAGATTGTCAACGAACGTGTGGAACAATGGCGCAAGAAATTCGGTGATACTGGTGGTGGCAAGCAAATTGTGGCATTGACGGGCGAGACAAGTGCTGATTTGAAGCTTCTTGAGCTTGGAGATTTGATTGCATGCACGCCAACACAATGGGATGTTATTTCACGACGATGGAAGCAGCGTAAGAATGTACAGAATGTGGATCTCTTTATTGCGGATGAAATGCACGTCATTGGTGATGATCAAATTGGTCCAACCTACGAAGTCATTGTTTCGCGTATGAGATACATCGCCTCGCAGACTCAGAATCCTATTCGTATTGTGGCTCTCAGCACATCGGTGGCCAATGCACGTGATCTTGGTGAATGGATTGGCGCTACTTCACATTCAGTCTTCAATTTCCATCCTTCGGTGCGACCAGTGCCTCTTGAGATCCATATTCAAAGCTACAACATTCCACACTTTGCATCATTGATGATGGCTATGGCCAAGCCAACTTACCTCGCAATCACAGGCCATTCAGCTGATAAGCCGGTGTTGGTATTTGTGCCCTCTCGCAAGCAATGTCGTTTGACAGCTCTCGACATCATCACTTATTGTGTTGGCGATGATACACCCACACGTTTCTTGCATTGCAACATTGAAGAGGTACAGCCATTGCTCGATCGCATTCAAGATAAGACACTTGTGGAGACATTGCAACATGGTATCGGTTTCTATCATGAGGCACTTTCCAAGGGCGACAAGCGCATTGTTCAACAGCTATACGAATCGGGTGCTATTCAAGTGGTCATTGCTTCACGTGACACATGCTGGGGTATTTCAATGAGCTCACACATGGTGGTGGTGATGGGTACACAATACTTTGAAGGCAAGGAACATCGCTATGTGGATTATCCAATGAAGGACGTCTTGCAGATGATTGGCCGTGCTTGTCGACCAAGCGATGATGAGACAGGCAAATGCGTATTGATGTGCAACGCCAACAAGAAGGAGTATTACAAGAAGTTCTTATTCGAAGCCATTCCCGTTGAATCTCATTTGGATCAAACCATGCATGACCACTTCAACGCCGAGATTGTCACCAAGACGATTGAGAATAAGCAGGATGCTGTGGATTATCTTACATGGACATTCCTTTATCGACGTATGGCACACAATCCCAATTACTATGGCTTGTCTGGTACATCGCATCGCCACTTGTCCGATCATTTGTCCGAATTGGTGGAGAACACATTGAACGATTTGCAAGAGACCAAGTGTATCACAATCGAAGACGAGATGGATGTCAGCCCATTGAACCTTGGTATGATTGCAGCTTACTACAACATCAACTACACAACCGTCGACATGTTCAGCGTCAGCTTAAAGAGCAGCACCAAGCTCAAGGGTCTCTTGGAAATTGTGTCATCGGCTACCGAGTTCGACAACATCCCCATTCGTCATCACGAGGATGCAGTACTCAAGCGTATCTACGAACGTTTGCCTGTCAAGTTGGCTCAACCAAAATACAACACACCAAGAATCAAGACCATCATTCTTTTGCAAGCTCACTTTTCTCGTCTCCAATTGACACCCGATCTTCAATCCGACCAATCCCTCATTTTGGGTCGTATCATTCCTTTGTTGCAAGCATGTGTCGATGTGATTTCTTCCAATGGATGGTTACCACCAGCATTATCAACCATGGAATTGGCTCAAATGTGTGTACAAGCAATGTGGGATCGTGATTCACCTCTCAAGCAAGTACCCTATTTCACCAGCGATGTCATCAAGCGTTGTGAGCAACATGAAGTTGAATCAGTATTCGACATTATGGAATTGGAAGATGATGTACGCAATGATGTGCTACGCATGGATAAGAACCGATTACGTGAGGTGGCCAACTTTGTCAATCGATACCCCAACGTTGAAGTCGGCTTTGAAGTGGCTGATCCTGAGTCCGTTGCATCTGGTGGTGTCGTTAACGTGAAGATTCAAATTGAGCGTGAAGGTGACGAGGATGAAGAATTGGGCCCTGTGGTGGCACCCTATTTCCCTGCAAAGAAGGATGAAGGCTGGTGGATCGTTATCGGTGATCCTACTACAAAGACTCTTTTGGCTATCAAGCGTGTCACTTTGGCACATCGTCTCACTGCCAAGCTCGACTTTATTGCTCCCAAGGCTGGCCATCACAATCTCAAGTTGTATCTCATGTCTGACAGCTACAATGGATGCGATCAAGAATTGGATATGGAGCTCGACGTCGCTGAAGGCGAAGATAGCAGTGAAGAAGATGAAAGCATGGATGAAGATTAAATTTAGTTGTTTCCCTTTTCTATTATCATTATCAGTATATAAAAGTTGTCTATTAGCACAAGACGTTCCTTCTTGTCGGATCAAGTTTGGGTGTGCAACCAACAGCAAAGCAATGGTGTAACATGGCTGATAAGACATCTATAGTGGGATAATCAAGTCAACCTTGGGTATTGTCAATTACAGCTATAAAGTATAGAAAAGGAGGGAATTCACAAAAGCGACGTGGGCTCAAATTGGAAATGAGGGTGGATTGTATGCTTACATCAGCATATCAATACTTCTTTGTTATGCATCACCGTGCACTATTGTTTATGCAAATAAATGTAGGACCGAGTTACGGAACTACGTCTATTTTCGAAGAATTGTCAATGGCTCATACTCACCATAATCATTATATAGCCTTTGCTATCGCAAGTTTCTTTTGGCTATGGCTACATTATACCGCCATTGAACCTATTGGATGCGCGACATGCATGCTAAAAGAAGCTAGAGAGGTGTGCGATGACGTTGCTGATAAAGACAACCGACAACGCCGTTTAATTCGACGCAGTGATGCTGAGCAACTTCCAAAATAGAAGCACATTCAAAACAATGAAGGGTAGCCACATCTAATTTGCATGCATGTAGCTGTGGTCGACAAGCTACAACTCTTTTAACCATGCAGCTTTTTTGGGAGTTCAAATGATTATCAATGACAAGATCAGACAACACGCGACATGAATGAGCGGAGAAAAGTTTTTGACTACTGTTTTGGCCAAGGGTGAGAAGGCTTGTGAAACATATTGCCGCTCAAAACGACACCACTCAGATCCAACGGGCTTTTCGATAGCCCTTGGCAGCAGCAACGAAAAAAAATTTTCAGCTTGGTCGAGTGAATGGCATGGGAAAAACAAGGACCACAGAAGGCAGGGGACGTTACAAAAGACCGTGGGCATGGTACACGATCTGAACCCTAATAGCTTAAGATCTATCTTTTGTAACCACCGTGAGCAAATGGATGAGAAAAAAAGAAGGAATATCAAAGACATAACATTGGTGCAAGGAAAGACAACCAAGTTTGGGAATGGCTGGGTTCTTTTTTTTTAATCAGAATGAGCGGGCAAACCAGGCGTCTAGATAAACTTGACTTTTTTCCTCTTTCTCTCTTTTTTCTTTCTCCATCTTTATTCATACCCCACCTACATGGTCGAAAAGCATCAACCTGACGGAACGAGTGCTTCCATCAGCAGCGTCAAAGCACATGAAGCAGGCGACCAACATGTCGTATTCGACAATGAGAAAATAGCGGTCGAAAACAGCCACACTTATGATCTCGAAGAGAATGGACGAACGATACACGGTGCCAAACGTGGCCTGAATGCTCGACACATTCAAATGATTTCGCTTGGCGGTGCCATTGGGTAATCAACGAACCAAGAGGATGTGTCATATCATCGAATTATCCATACTTACACACACACCAACCAATCGTATCACGTAGCACTGGTCTTTTTCTGACATCGGGTGGAAATATAGCCACGGTACGATATTAGCCTATATCATCACATTCATTTTTATCTTATGCGAACCTATACAGGCTGGTCCCGCTGGTGCCCTTATTGCTTATTGTGTCATTGGTATCATGGTATGTTGTCAATTAGCAACAACAACATGCAAACCTTGATTCCAACACGACATTCAAATCATAGGTATACTGCGTCATTACCTCACTCGGTGAAATGGCAACCTTTATTCCTGGTACGTGAGAAAGTGCGCCATTTTATGCAGCACGTATTCATAATCAATCGTATACACCGCTAGTATCCGGTTCGTTCAATCATTTTGCAACTCGATTTGTTGATCCTGCTCTTGGTTTTGCTCTTGGTTGGAATTATTGGTGAGTCAAATCATATCAAAGTGCCCAAATGAACACATTCTAACATAGCTTTGTACCTGCAGGTTCTCGGTAAGCCTTTGAGATACAATCACTTTATAGCTAGCATCATCCGATTAACTCAACGATCTGTACCTTTTCTGGTGCATTTACCTTTTTTAGTGGGTAAGCGTGAGAAAGAGATGTGTCGCATGACCCAGTTTACTCACGATCATTCCCTCTTTTCCTTTATCCCATAGGCTGTAACTCTTGCAACAGGTAAATCAATTTCGTAAACACCCGTGGATATGTAACACACGCACATGTCGAACGATTTGTCATTGACATATATACCCAATTACAGAACTATCGGCCGCAGCCACAATCATCAATTGGTGGAGCCCTGTGATGCCCGATGCAGCATGGTGTACCATTTTCCTTCTTGTTCTCATCGCCATTAACCTCGTTGGTGTTCGGTAAATATCATTATTCTTCTCACAAGTATAGCTTTTATTCTAACATTTGCTATGTAGCATCTATGGTGAAATCGAATACTGGTTCGCATTGATCAAGATTTTGATTGTCATTGTCTTTATCATCATCGGTAAGCTCCGCCACTCTCTTGTGATCCATTGTCTTGGGAAGCCATATCTAATGTCTCATCCCATATATAGCCATTTGTGTAGCAGCTGGTGGTCTTGGTGACGAAACTCTTGGTTTCAAGTAAGCATCTATATACATAGGCTATGATTTCATACTTACCGGGGCAACACTCTAGGTACTGGAAAGATCCAGGCGCATTCGTCAATGGTGGTTTGGGTTTTGTCAGCGTGCTCCTTACTGCTGGTTTCTCTTTCCAAGGTACCGAAATTGTTGGTATCACTGCCGGTGAAGCCAAGAACCCCACAAAGACTGTACCTCGTGCCATTCGCAATACTTTTTGGCGTATCATCATCTTCTATATCGTGACCATCTTTTTACTTGGCTTGTGTCTTCCCAGCAATGACCCAAATCTCGAAAACGATGAGGAAAACGCCGCAACCGCTTCTTTCACCCTCGTTTTCCAGAAGGCTGGCATCGATGTGGCGGCTCATGTGATCAACGAACATATCACCAATTGTCTTGTCAATCGTTGTAAACGTTGTAAGCTAACCTCATTTCTTTTTTCTTATAGGCTGTTGTATTGTCAAGCGTCTTGTCAGCAGGGAACTCCGATATCTACACTTGCTCTCGTACACTATTGGGTCTCGCGCATGATGGCAATGCTCCCAAGTTCTTTTCCAAGACCAACCGATTTGGCTCCCCTTATTGGGCCGTGCTATTCTCATCATCCATCGGTTTCATTTGTGTATTTGCTGCCATTTACAGGTTTGTGGTGTTGATTTCCTATATCAAAGAAGCCTGATCATAACCATCCGTCTTCTTGTATAGTGCCACTGAAGCCTTCAACTGGTTCTTAAACATCACCGCTGTTACTGGTTTCATCAGCTGGTGGGGCATTGTGTTGATCCATTTGCGATTCCGACGTGCATACAAGCGACAAGGTAAGTAGCATAGCATCACTCACCTTGAGACATCATGGCTCATAGCTATGTATTTTACAGGTCGTAGCTTGGCTGATTTGCCATACAAGGCATTTGGATTTCCTATTGCACCCTTGTTCGCCTTGTTGTTCTGTTCATTTGTCATTTTGGGCCAAGGTAAGTCATCTAACAGTGATGGGGTGATAAATGTCTCATCGCACTCCTTTGTTAGGCTATGAATCCTTTACACCAACCTTTGATGGCGTGGCATTTGTGAGCAGCTACATTGGTATCTTGCCAGCCATTCTTTGTTATATAATCTACAAGGTCGTTCGTCGTACACGACTTGTGCCCCTCGATGAAGTTGGTACGTATGCAAATCATGTGTCAATGAAAGGTTTATTTATAACATTTGAATGTATAGACTTTGAACGTGGACATGTCACTCGTTTCGAGATTGAGCAAGAAGCTGCTGAGGAGAAGAACATGCCATGGTACAAGAAGGTTATCGAGGCAGTTGCATAGACAAGTTTCCTCTTTATTCCCTCTTTTTGTGTATATTTACTATTTGATAATATCTATGCTTTACGTCCATGTGCTTGTGTTGAACACTGTAGAATATCATATCATGTAACATAAATCATAAGGAATGTTGTGACATTTCAACAAGGCAGCGCTTGAGTAATGCATTCGAAAGACAACAACACCGTTGATGCAGCTGCATGTGGGGCGGAGGAAGATCATTTCTTGGCTGGAAGTAGATTAATTGCATCCACGTTGCCAACTTGAAATGTGGCATCAATCTAGCCAGTATCCCAATATACATTCACCATATGCACGTTTCCATCTCTGATATTCTGCTGGATGAATATCTGGCATTCTCGTTCTGCCGCCGCGATACTATCAAAGTAGATAGTTGTTGTTTCTGCTGATGCTGTGGCTGATGTTGGTAGGTGGAGTTGTAGATGATGATGCTCCATCATGTGTGCTTCCTGTGGTGGACGTAACTCGTAGAATTACTTGGCGACCAAATGCATGAGCAAGGTTTGCACGAAAGTTGTCCATTCAAGATTGCTCGCCATATTATCAGTCTTATCGTGATATGATTGATCACCGTTTGGTTCGGCTCCGACGTGGCGAGAAAGGCTTTAGCCACCAAACGATGTACTTCCAGAGTGTTGTCTGCCGCCACGACATCATACTTACTGTGCTTCTTGGCGTTGAGCGCCATCAATGTGCATGTATCCTTGTTCATCACATGGCCATATGATGATGCTTGATACTTATTGTAGACACGTGAATTCCATGGCAAAGTGCCAATATCCCTCCATTCGACGTCGGATGGTTGGTGTGGCTGAGGGACATGGTACACGTACGTGTTTTGTGCAGCTAGTTCTTGCCGACGTTGCAACTGCACTTCTTGGTGCATGTATTTGAGTCACCTACAAAGCAAATTCCTATCAGACTTGGCAATCATTTAAATGATAGTTATACCTACCACAAAGCTACATCAAGGAACACACACCAAATGTCATTAGGCAACAATGAGCACACCAAGTGGTAAAGCAATAAAGTGAGCTACATAGATGAAAACAAAGAAGATGGATGCATGAGTACCCTCATTTTGGGGATCACATAAAGAATGTCCTTGAGACTTACCAAAGGCCATTGATGATGATATGCATACGAGTAGAAAGAAAGGGCGTATGATAGTGTTGATGTCAACAGCGTTGTTTATACGTGAATGGGCGTGGGAGTTGTTGTCATGATGGATCGAGCTGATAAAGTGGTCAATAAGAAGCATCTTGGAGTACCGAGTACAAGTGATGGAAATTCAACAACTGATAAATCCACCTGCGGCTCAAATGTTGGTTTTTATAGGTGGCATGAGGATGTCCTATCATCATCGTGCCCGAAACCAATTGCATGATCGTGCACATACGAGCTGGTAGTACGACACCCCAAATATGATGTTGAATCCAATCTTCATTTAATGAAACGGCCGAAGAATAGGATATAGTAGTGTGGATGTTTATTAAATAAGTATGTTGAAGGAATAGTATGGAATAGTATTGCGAGTTGTAAATAAGGTACGGGTGGATCACAGAGAGTCAACGGGTATCATTGTGTCATTGTATTTGGTTGCTGTCGTCATAAACATCTTCATCCATGCTTGCAAAATAGCTGCTCCATGCGTTGACTCGAGTAATTCAATTCATCCAATGTTGTACAATAAACACCTTTCGTCAATCCCATCCCATCCATCATCATCCTCAGCCGTATTCATTGATATGCTCCCTCCTTCGTGTTGACAAAGTGCCAAGCAATCAAGGAAACATTCAGCACCTCTTTCTCATCACTGCAATTGATTCCATCCATCCATCAATAACCACTTGCAAGCCCAGTAAGTTGAAGTACCCCATGTGATTGCTGCTGATATGCTTCCTTTTCCATTCGCGGTGATGGTCGCTCACGTGCTTGGTCATTTTGTATCGCAGCTCAACAAGGTGAATATTGCTTGGATTGCGAACGTAGTGCTGTGGTATCATCCAAACTAGACAACACGTGGGGATGGGAACCAACCTTGTCAGTATACTCAATTCCCTCCATCCCATGTGCCAAACCAATATTCAGATCCATATCCATATCCACAAGAAGTCGTATGTATTGAAGCAAGTTGCTACACGTAAATAAAGCTACTTGTGTACAATGGCTATCTGCTGTCCACGCAAAGACGGCTGTAAGGCAAGCTGCTGCAAGTAAAGAACGCTGTTCGAGACGATGAAGTAAAGACGTTGCTGACAGCAATTGCTGAAATGAATGCTGTTACGTTTGGTCGTGATAGACACTGTACAAGAGAAGGAGTAGTGTCAAGAAACTCGTGTGTTGTAGAAGAGTGACAAGAAGGCTGTGTACATCCGATGGAGTTGCCATTCAGTCAAAAGCAATCGGATCAAGACATTCGTAGGATTGACATGATGGGTTGAAGCAGGACAATCGTTGGCAGGTGGTAGTTGTATACTTGAATGGGGCAACAGAGGAGAATGCGAGGAAGAAAAAATAAACCGGGAGTGGAAGAACTGGAAATCTAATAGATTTCCTGATGCATGGACGATGTTTCTATTTTGGGCGTTGTTCACTCATCTCCTGTTGGGATCAAGAAAGTTCAATGATGGGAATGATGGGCTGGAGCAGGACAATCGTTCGTATGCATTGGATTGGACAACAAAGGTGAATGGGAGGAACGGGCTATTAGCCGGCAGTTTACAAATAACTTTGCAAAATACTTCTGTGTTTGAGCGTAACTCGGTCAAATCCCCTCGGATCAAGAAAGTTGAAGGATGGACATGCTGGGCTGGAGAAGGACAATCGTTCACATGCATTGGATTGGGCAACAAGATGATTAGAAGGACTGGGTTATTAGCTGGCATTTTAGGAACTACTCCTAAATAGTGTACAAGTATCATGCATCGCCTATGCTGACTGACTCAAGTTACACAACACGCTCTGCATCTTTGGCTCTATTGTAGTCATACTACTTTACAATGAACAAAGAACTCTTTTCATATAGCATCACACTTACAGCATATGTAAAACATAAAGGTGCCTGTATCTCTAAACTTTACAATGAAACGTGGGGTCTTTAATAGAACCATATTGCTCGGCGGGGTGAAAGCGATCTTGTGTCAAACTATGAAGTCCATCGTGGCCAATCCCAGATTTCGCAATGTCGCTACCAGCCAAACTGGATCTGGGGGTCGACCTCTTCGACGACGACGACCAGAAAAATATTTTTTGGGCTAGTTGCGACATTGAACGTGAAACTTTCACACAAGGTGCTGTTGGCCAAGCCGAGCACATTGCTCTATTCAAAACCCCACGTTCGATTGTAAAGTTTGGAGATACAGGCACCTTTATGTTTGTAAGCGTGATGCTATATGAGAAGTGGTCTTTGTTCATTGTCAAGTAGGTGGACCCTGGCAGAGCAAAAGATGTAGAGGGTCGTGTTGTGTAACACAGCTACGTTTGCATGAATGGAAGGGTCAATGTATAATTACTTTATGGATCATCTAGGAACAGCCATGTATTGCTAGCTAACGGCCACTTTTATCCAGTCATCATTGTTGCGAGATCCACTGCATGGGAACGATGCCCCTGCTCTAGACATTCATTTCCATGATTAAAGTAGGTTGATCCGAGCTGATTTGATTGAGCTGCGGTCAAAGAGAGATTACATCACTCTGGACATAAAGCACGCTCGATGTAGCTCAACCGATGGAATCTTGTGTGAGCGTAACTCAACCAAATCAGCTTGGATCAACCTACTTTAATCATGGAAATGAATGTCTAGAGCAGGAGAATCGTCCACCTACAATGGAATGCACAAAAGTTGGGAATGCACAAAAGTGGCTATTAGCTGCCAATGTATGACCTGAAAATGACGTTTGCGTACCTGTCATGCATCGTCCCTGATGTCCGGACTTTTTAGCTCAGCTACACAAAGAGGTCCTTCTGCATCTTTTGCTCTGTCAGAGTCTAGCTACTTGGCAATGAACGAAGACCACTTCTCATATAGCATCACGCTTACAAACATAAAGGTGCCTGTATCTCCGAACTTTACAATTGAAACGTGGGGTTTTTATTAGAGCAATGTGCTCGGCTTGGCCAACAGCACCTTGTGTGAAAGTTTCACGTTCAATGTCGCAACTAGCCCAAAAAATATTTTTCTGGTCGTCGTCGTCGAAGAGGTCGACCCCCAGATCCAGTTTGGCTGGTAGCGACATTGCGAAATCTGGGATTGGCCACGATGGACTTCATAGTTTGACACAAGATCGCTTTCACCCCGCCGAGCAATATGGTTCTATTAAAGACCCCACGTTTCATTGTAAAGTTTAGAGATACAGGCACCTTTATGTTTTACATATGCTGTAAGAGTGATGCTATATGAAAAGAGTTCTTTGTTCATTGTAAAGTAGTATGACTACAATAGAGCCAAAGATGCAGAGGGACGTGTTGTGTAACTTGAGTCAGTCAGCATAGGCGATGCATGATACTTGTACACTATTTAGGAGTAGTTCCTAAATGCCAGCTAATAACCCAGTCCTTCTAATCATCTTGTTGCCCAATCCAATGCATGTGAACGATTGTCCTTCTCCAGCCCAGCATGTCCATCCTTCAACTTTCTTGATCCGAGGTGACATGGTAGTATGGCAACAATGGGTGTTGTTGGATCTGTTGGATCATCATTATCATGTAAAGTGTAAAATGACACACTCCCTTTTGCTATACGTGAGGATCATTTCTTTTATTTACGTGTACCTATTGTCTATCGTGAGGGTGCTGATGATGATGGGTGAGTTGTGTGTTTGGGTGGATGGTGTGTATTGGGTAATGTTCATGCAATTATACAAGAGGTATCCGATTTAATTTCCAGTCTTCCCACTCCCACCCTATTTTTTCTCTTCCTCCCATTCACAACTGTTGCCCCATTCAAGTATACAACTACCACCTGCAAACGATTGTCC